TGGTCAGTGTGGAAAAGTTGGCCAAAAAATACCCACCGGATCAGCACTCTAGACCTCCCTCTAGTGGGGGTTCTTTCACCAGCAGTTGCATGAGCAAGTAATTGCAGGGCTGCACCATTAACCTCACGTGTACAACAATCATCTGGTTTCTGTGCATTTCAGAACTCCTTGATCCAGACCCCAGCATCCCAGTGGTGCAGGCTCAGTGCTCTGCATCGGTGTTACCATTGCGCCGTTGCATCTCTGCAACCACGTGCCACCCGTTGCCGCGTGTAACGTCGCTGCACCCTGTGCACCGCACGTGTCAACAGCCCCTGCCGCTGCTCCGCCGGGACACCGGCTTGATCCTGACGATGTCTCAGGAGCAGGCCGCCTGCCTCCTGGCCAACGCCTTCTTCTGCACGTTCCCCCGGAGCAACGCCACCGGGACCCGGAGCGAGGACTCTGCCTGCCCCGACATCAACGTCAACAGGTGCAGCAGCAGCAGCCCATCACTGTGCATTACACACCGAACACCGTGTGTCATGCAGTACACACACACAGATGCCATGCTCTTTCTATGTAGAGTATTTCTTGCTGTATATGTAGCGTCGGAAATGCAAAGCACACACCACACTGTATGCTTACCTGTAGTTGCAGGCACGAGTCTGCAGGGGGTGCCACCCTGAGTTAGAGAGAGAACCGGGACCGTTGAGAGGCCGAGTCCCCCCCCCCCGACCCCAGGTGAGGGGTTGGGGGGTTATTCCAGAGCCACCGTACGTGGCCACGCGTGGTGATCGCGGGCGAGGCCGAGCGACGCGAGAGGGGTGAGGGGGGGGGGCAGCTGCGGGTCGCCCCCCCCCCCGCGCCCTGGGGGCTCCGTCACCGCCACCGCCGCCCTGGGGCCTCCGCGCGGGCGGCGCCAGGAGGAGGAGGAGGCGCCGCGTGATACACAAGTCGCCGCGTGTCCCCGTGGTGAGCGCCGGGAAGGGCCGTCACGTGGCAGTGGCGCCTACGAACGAACCTCCAGCTCACCAGGGGCCATGTCACCGCCGTCTCTCGCCTCCACCGCCTCCACCGCCGCCGATATAAACGCGGCAGTGACGAGTCAGACGGCGGCAGTCATCGCAAGGGACGATTGGGACATCCCCGACGCGAGCTCGGCACGAGATCCGTCTTCGTCGTGGTCATCCTGCACGTGGTGCCGAGGGGCTGCTGCTGCTGCTGGGAGCGCGTCGCGTGCAGGTGCCCGCGTGAGCTCGCCCGGGGGGAGTTGTCGGCACGACGACCCGAGGCGCAGCCCGAGCCGAGCGGTGACAATGGGTCTCCTTGCGTCGCGAGTGGCGTCGCTGCTGGGCGGAATGTTCACTCAGCAAGCGCGCGTGCTGCTGCTGGGTTTGGACGCGGCCGGGAAAACCAGCATCCTGTACAAGCTCAAGCTCGACGAATCCGTGGTGACCATCCCGACCATCGGCTTCAACGTGGAGACCGTGCAGCCCATCAGGAACGTCACCTTCACCGTGTGGGACGTGGGCGGCCAGCAGAAGATCCGCGCTCTCTGGAGGCACTACTTCCAGAACACGGACGGGCTCCTCTTCGTGCTGGACAGCGCGGACCGGGAGCGCTTCCCGGAGGCTCCCGCGGAGCTGGACGCCATCCTGGACAGCCCCGAGATGACGCGGGTGCCCTTCGTGCTCCTCGCCAACAAGCAGGACCTCCCGCGGGCAGCGGCCACCGCGGAGGTGGCGGAGGCGATGAAGGCGGTGAAGACGCGGCACGGGCGCGAGTGGCTGGTGCAGGGCTGCTGCGCCCGCACCGGAGAGGGCCTCCTGGAGGGCGTGGGGCAGCTCTCCCGCTTCATCAGCAACTCCAGAGCCTCCTCGGGGACAAAGTGAGCTCGGCTCGGCAGCAGCAGCAGCGGCAGCAGCGGCGGCGGTGTCACTCCAAGGCGGCGTCTCTCGTGCACGTGGGGGGGGGGGGGGGGGGGGGGCTTCGAGTTGTGTCCACTGGTCACGAATTCACTCGAGTGAACGCCGTCATTCAAACAAACAGCTCGCTGTGTGTGCCTCTGCATGTGTGGATGTCTCTTGGTGCGCTGTTGCTCTGGTTGTCCCTCGGGGCTGCCCAGAAGTATATCTTTCCCTGTGTGTCTTCTCTGTGTATGTACCTCGTGTCTGTTCACGAGTCCCTGTCCTCTGTTTTCACGTTGGCATGTTCAGCCCAGATGATGAACACGAGAGATTTAGCAGTCTTTTGAAATACGTGGTCAACCAGGTGAGTGTCTAACTGTGTTGTTGGCCGACTGGTTTGCATCACGTGATGGTTCCAAGGTCTGTTGAGTTTCTCGTCTCCCATCTTCTTGTTGCATTTGCTTATGTGTAGTTTGCCGTTCTCTGTGTGCCATGTACGTGGTGTCCCCCTGTGTGTTCCCTCGCTATATGTTTCACCCCATTTCCACCTGATGATGAGCGCTTGTGTTGCGTTCAAAACGTCGTGATTCATTTTATTTTTTTTAATTTACATTTTATTTTATTTCTACATACGTGTCTTTACCGGAAAAAAACCAATGCGTGAAACAGCTTGTTGTGAAAGACTCAATGCAGAGATCGCTGGGTTTGGTCTTCCACGAAGCTGCTCACGGTCCACCCTCAACCGCATCCACTGCACAAACCACGGCAGTAGATGCGGACACCCTGATGCACAAATGTTAAATTAGAAACTCTCCAGGAGCCTGCGACTGTGGCCATCCAGAACAGACCGTGCAACGTGTAACGACGCAATGCCCGGTCCACAAACACGACGGAGACGTCGCAGCGATACACTCACTACCACTGCTTCTTCTCACGCGGTGATCTGGGCTTGCCCACCTGGATTTGACTTCATAGTCGTCTGCTGTGCACCTGCATCAGCAGCCGCACGAACGAAGTAGCAGCAGCAGAAGAAGAGAACGCGGTCGCGTCCACGTGCACGCGCCCCGCGACTGCGCGTGCCTCTCGCTGCGAGGGAACATCCGCATCGTCTTCAACTGCGGACTGGAGTTTCACATTCGACGGCGGCTGTCGCTCTGTGATTCCACACTGGGGGGCAAACGCCTCCCCCGAGTTGATTCCGTTCCGCGCTTTCCTTGCAGCCGTCGCGTCGCGGCCTCCGGATGCTTTGGGTTCATCTCGTCATCTCGACGGGTCATCTTTGACCGCTCGTGGTTTAGATATAAATATGTGAATGGCATCTGTAAATTAAAAGGGGCGCAATCTGTGCAAGTTCTTTTCATTGAAGGCACTTTAATGGCTCGTCTCATTTTCAGAAATTCTTTTATAGACCAAACAACATTGTATAATCTTAATTTTAAGTTTTCGTGACTGCAGGAATCCATACTCTTTGGTTCTTTCGGTAAAGTCACGTAGGTAGAAATAAAATACAATTTTAAATTAAATAAATTTGTATTTCTACCTACGTGACTTTACCGAAAGAACCAAAACATTGTATAACATCTGTAGATAATTGTAGCATTTGTCGTTCCCGTCTTTCATACAAATGAGATTGTTTGACCATAATGGTTAAATTCATCAACGTAATATTGATTTAAAGCTTTCGTGACTGCAGGGATTCATCTTCTTGGTTCTTTCGGTAAAGTCACGTAGAAGGGAAGTAATAAAATAATCAAAATAAAACATAATAAAATTATTCTCACGACGTTTCGGCCACAACGCAAGCAGCCGTCCTCAGGTGAAAACCAGGTCCGTCGAGGCGACAGAGTCTGAATGAAACAGCACACGAGCTTGGAGCATATATATAAGCTGGGCGCCTTGACAAAGGAATTTGCATATCAAGAGGAATTTAGCATATTTATGGGAAATGCAGGAATGTGATTAGTACTACATATGCATGTGCATTATGCAGGATTAACAGCATCAAAGGGAGCTGCAGTTGCTGCTGCAGCTCTTCCTCTTGATATGCAAATTCCTTTGTCAAGGCGCCCAGCTTATATATATGCTCCAAGCTCGTGTGCTGTTTCATTCAGACTCTGTCGCCTCGACGGACCTGGTTTTCACCTGAGGACGGCTGCTTGCGTTGTGGCCGAAACGTCGTGAGAATAATTTTATTATGTTTAATTTTTATTATTTTATTACTTCCCTTCTACGTGACTTTACCGAAAGAACCAAGAAGATTCATCAACGTACTCAATTTTGGTACCGTTTGTGTTCACATGTTCTCGTCAACTGTCGTCAATTTGTTCCTAGCTTTGCACTGCTCGATAAAATCTTTGATAAAATGTAAAATCTACTTTTGTTATATGAAAACCAGGACAATGTAATCAGCGCAATGTAAATGTGTAAATTGTTTAGGGTTGATATTCTCTCTGAATTCGTTACCACGATGGTGATGCGGCGTTACCTTCACTGCTCGTGTTATTCAGTCACAGATTATTTACATTCCTCGTTGTTTAAGAATCGCTAACTACGGATGGTGTATACAGGACATATCATCGAATGCCTTGTGGTATAAATCTATGACAGCTTGATCAATGTATTTGCCGTACGCATTGTAATTAGTTATTTGATTGAAGGTGGCCTGATGTTGATGATTTCATGAATTGTTTGTTTAGTCGGTTTGTTGTCTAATATATCAGATTTTCATTGAATAATGTTGATAAATATGTTGTAGATGCACGAACCGAGGCTGATAGTCGAATGATTATATTCTTAAGATCCAATCGCCACGTTTGTGCAATAAAATAGTTTGGGATCAGACAGTGTCGTTACCGTTAGATGTTCTCGGATTGTGCGACCTAATTTACATCTTGCTTCAAGCAGTTCTTCTTGACTCGAGTTTAATATTGTTGCCCGAGTTTTCATCTTCGGACGATTGCACGATTTAACGTGCCTATTAACGATGTAAAAGTATCCCTAGACGCAGCTGATGATACAACTACTGGCTCCACAGAAGCAAATGAAACGTGTTACTGCATTTTAAAGCCTTAACATTCACCACTTATCATTTAATTTTTCATTTCTTTGGTATAGCCCTGTGAGCCATGCGGCTCTTAAGTCGGGTGCAACCGCAACAAACAAAATATGAACAGAGAAAAGAAACATCCTCGATAAACCAGCAAATCTTCCAAAAAAAACGTATTACAACACTGTGGGCACAAATCACAGTGTGATGCAAGTCAAACAACAAACAACCATAAGACAATTTAGATTAACCATATGTTTTCTAAATCACCAAAATAAAGCTATAAAAACAATGTAACAGTAACCATAGGAACTGTGATTCTTAATTTAACAATAAACGATATACATAACATGTACGACCGAACTTGTAGCCATAGCTGGCAGCATGACACTCCTTGTGTATGATGTGTGAGTCAGCATATGATGAGTTAGTGTATGATGTGTGAGTGAGTCAGTGAGAGTGTGAGTGAGTGTATGATGAGTGAGTCAACGTATGATGAGTGAGTGTATGATGAGTGAATTGTGTATGATGAGTGAATGGGTCAGTGGTTGTGTGAGTGAGTGTAAGATGTATGACTGAGTCAGTGTATGTTGAGTGACTGAGTCAGTGTAAGATGAGTGAGTGAGTCAGTGAGAGTGTGAGTGAGTGTATAATGAGTGAGTCAACGTATGATGAGTGAGTGTATGATGAGTGAATTGTGTATGATCAGTGAATGGGTCAGTGGTTGTGTGAGTGTAAGATGTATGACTGAGTCAGTGTATGTTGTGTGAGTGAGGCAGTGTAAGATGAGTCAGTGTATCACAGCCTCCTTCCCGCCATCACGGCCTCCTCTCCTCGGCTCTGTCGGCTCCCTCGGCTCCATCAGCACCTCCAGCCTGCGACTGCCGAAGATATGGGGATGACGAACCAGGAGCCGTCCTGCAAACCTCAAGGATCAGAGCCATCATTTTTATGGCGTCATCGTGTCGTGAGCTCCGTCAAGCGTCTTGAGTGAAGGCGCTGTCCATTTCATTCGTTCATCGCGCAGGGCTCGGGGAAAGGACCTCTTGCGACTCGCAGCGTTCCCATGAACTGCTTCTTGCCGCCCGAACACCGCTGTTCATTAGATGCTTAGAAACGTGATGTCTTTGTATTATTACACGCTTTTATTTAACTCACTCTGTTGTTGTTGTCGTATCCTAAAATCTTGTAACTGAATTTTAACCCACTTCCCAATGTGGTATGGACTGCAAAACTTGGTATATTTATGTCATACTGATGACAATACTATATTCTATCATAAAAAAACATAAAAAATATATATTTGTAAACATAATTTTTTATATGTTATGTTTCGGCTTGGGTCTCATTGTCCACGCTCAACTGATGTTGGCTGTAAATCAGCACGGCCCCTGACGTGATGGCAAGCTTCGGGGCCACGTCCTGGAGTCGTGGAGTTCTGCCATTACGAATACGGTACATTTCATTAAAGCGTGTTTTTAAAAAAGTACTTTTAAATATTACTTATTACCTCAACGGTTAGAAATGGGTGGAGCAGTGGGCGTAGTGGTTAGCGCACTGTTGTCTGAACCTGGCCACATGAGTTGGATTCCTGGGCACGACTAACATGACCAGCGTGGTGAAGTATGATCACAACCTTTAATGACTGATAGGGAATGTGGTGGTCTTCAGCCGGCAGTCCCGCGAGACGAAACTTTTTTACTTTTCTAACTTATTACATAACATGTATTTGATTAAGTTATGTTTATTCATTTCAATGGCCAGTAATAAGAGGCACACGTTATTACCAAGTGTGAATCATTATCCAATTTAGCTCATAGCTGCTCACCAATGATATTCTAAAGTTGACAATGTTTATTAAAAAAGTCTGAAGTGTTCAAAAATAATATCAGTCTATTAACACTTCAGACTGTTTGATTAAACAGTCTACTTGTTTTTTTCTTCATTCACCACTTGAATTTAAAACGGGGACACGCAGTGTGGTGTCAGGGAGTGAGATCACTTCCCAGGTCACTCGAGCGAACGAGGGGCCGTCCATAAATGACGTCACGCGATTTTGGACGATTTTTGACCCCCACCCCCCCTCGTCACGCGGCGTCACGAAAAGTCAGACCCCCCCCCCCCTTAAATATGACGTCACAAAGCTCTGCCCCCCCCCCCCCCCCAAAATAAAACACGCTTCAAATCGCTTTAAAGTTTAGAGAGTTACGTGTTTAGAGGTTGTTGGATGTTGAATGGTTTAGATGGTTAGTAGTTGAGGTTATAAGGGTATGTGTTTAGGGGTTTAGAGGTATCGGGGTTTCAAGGGTTAGTGATTTACAGTGTTAGGTGTTTAGTGGCTTGAGAGTTGAGGGTTTAACACCGAGACTTTCACAACTAATATTGTCCATAATAAAGTTTTTTTTTGGGTTAGTCTCCAACACTAAATGGCACTTTTTGTTGATGTGACAAATTTTACTAATTGGCTGTTTCGGGTGGTGGTTGGTTTAACGACACGTTTATATTTACATAATCTAACAAAAAAAAACCTTTATGGGTTTAGAGGGTTCCGGGTGTAGTGGATTATGTGTTTAGAGGGTTAGCATTTTAGGGGCATAGGTGTTTTAAGGGTTAGGCGTCTAGAGGGTTCGTTCTTTAGAGGGTAGAGGTTTAAATGTGTTGGGATTAGGTTAGAAGATGAATCCCTGCAGTCACGAAAGCTTTAAATCGAAAATTAGGTTACAGATTTAGGGTTTTAGAATGTTAGGGTTTTGAGGGTTAGGGTTTTAGAGGTTGAGGATTTAGGAGGTTATGAGTTCAGAGGGTTAGGGGTCTAGAGGGTTAGTTCTTTAGAGGGTTGTGGTTTAGATTGGTTGGTATTTAGAATGTTAGGGATTTAGGGTTTGAGAAGGTTAGGGTTTCAAGGTTTAGAGGGTTAGGGATTCAGAGGGTTTGGTTTTTAATGGCTTAGACGGTTAGGGTTAAAAGAATAAGGGGTTTAGAGAGTGAGGGTTTTGGTGGGTTAGGGTTTTAAGGGTAAAGGGGTTGAGGGTTAGGGGTATAGGAATTTAGAGGGTTAGGGGTTGAGATGGTTAGAGTTTTGGGGGTTTAGAGGTTAAGCTTTTAGAGGGCGAGGGGTTTAAAGATTAGGGTTGTAAGAGTAAAGGGGTTGAGAGGGTTAGCAGTTTAGATGGTTATGGATTTAGATAGTTAGGGGTTTAGAAGTTTAGAGGGTTTTAATTGTTCGATGTTTAGTGGTTAAGGTCTCTGTGCGAGTCCAACATGTTTGTATGAGTCTATGGTAAGATAAAAAGAGTTCAGTTTAATTTGTATATTTCGAAACAATTTGTTTACCTTTCCTGTGATGTTTTTGTATTGTATTTTTGTTGTTATTTTCTGACCCACCCGATTGGACGTCTGTGAAAACAGATCGTTATAGCTTATCAGATTCCTCCAGTATAAATAAATATTCAAATTCAAATTCTATTGACCTCTGTGCGAATCTATGGATTTCTGTGTGAGTTTTTGGGCCTTTGAGAATATGGATCTCTGTGTGAGGCTCTGGGTCTCTGTGCATGTCTATCGGTCTCTGTATGGGGTCGCTGTGTGAGTCTGAGTGTCTGTAGGAATGTATGGGTCTCTGTTGGAGTCTATGGGTTTCTGGGTATGGTTGTTTGTGCGAGTCTTACATGCACAAATTTAACTTAAAATGGCCATTGAGGGTTGCGGAATCCAAGTTGAATATTAAGTTCCCTGCAGTGCAAGCCAGCTCTCTAGTCGTGTCATCAAACAGCCCCTTTAATTCTTTATAATAATAAAATAGACTTAGTCCAGGAAATCCACACTGAGTCACAGTCGGGTCCTGAATTGTTTTTTTACATTTTCGACGAATGAATGATGAGTTCTTACACAAGTGGGGGAAACCGGAGCACCTGGAGAAAACCCGGGGGGCAGCACTTTAAACCGTACAGGCAAAGATGGCGATTATCCCACTTTCTGTACTGCCTTCTCCTGGCCAGCCAGCCAGGAGGAGGCACCTCGATGCCCACGGAAAGGGGGTTTCACAACATTCACTGTGTGATCCACTCACCCTTGCTGCCTTCCACTGCTGGATTACAGGCTTGCAACACCACCGCCTGGCGAATAATAGTAATAATTAAAAGTTTTATAGCGCGCACAAGAACGACTCAGAGGCATGATGAACCACAGCCGTGCAGGAAGGAAGCCACGTGGTGAGCCAGTACCAACAATTGTCCAAGCTCTGCGGTCCTCTATGGAGGCATTATGCGCTAATTAATGACGAGTGTTTATACCAGTGGGGGAAACCGGAGTACCCGGAGAAAACCCATGCGTGCGAGGGTGAAACACTCTATCCCTGTACAGGTGAAGATGGCGATTAGTCCACTTGCTCTACTGCCTTCTCCTGGCGAGTCAGGTTATGGCACCTCGACGCCCACGGGAAGGTGATTTGCCAACATCATTGTGCGGTGATTCACCAACCCTCGCTACCTTCCAGAGTGCTGGATTAGAGACGTGCACTACCAACACCAGGCGAATGATAACAATAATAATAACTTTCTACTTCTAACTTGATAACAATAGGCGAAAAATAACAACAGGCAAATGATAACGACAGGCGAATGAGAACAGTAATTATTATTTCCACTTAGAACTTGATAACAATAATTATTTCTACTTTTAACGAAATAACAATTATTTCTTCTTATAACGTGATTACAACAATAATAACTATTTCTACTTTTAACTTGACAACAGGCGAATGATAACCGGCAAATGATAAAAACAGGCAGCACATCTACGCCTCTACATAAGGAACGAAACAGGTGAATGTCTCCACAAATCTGGCTGTCGCCTGATGAAGCTAGTTGTAATTACTGGCGAAACGTCGTACTCAGATTGTAAATGTTGAGGCTTGACTCTCCAACACACCGTGTGCTGTACTAGTTACAAATTGGCATGTTCTGACAATCCTTACTAGTTGGCTGTGTCGGGTGGTGGTGGGTTTAAACGACACATTTAAATATTTACGCGATCTAACCCAAAAAAGAAACCTCTATTATGGATGATATTGGTCGCGAAAGTCTACGTGTTAAACAAACCCGAAGGAATCAGAGAAAAATCGACGTGACCACGAGAGAAGATGCAAACTCCAAATATAGACATCAGGGTTGGGGTCAAACCTACGAATTCCAATATACCAGTTTAACACGTCGGCTTTCGCGAGGGGGTTTGCATCTCGCTCTGTGGTGCCTCATTATCTGACTCACCCAACCACTAAACTACTAAAGCCACCCACACACTCACTCACCCACTCACTATGCCACCCACTCACCTTGCCACCCACACTCACTCACCCTCTCACAAACCCACTCACCCTGCCACCCACTCAACCGCTAACTCACTCGCTCAAGCACACACTCAGCCACTCAAGAGCTTACCTGTGCACCCACCTACACACCCACTCATTAACTCAACGACCCACCCACCAACCCACTCACTCACTCACTCTAGACTCCACTCACCCACCCACTCACCTATTCACTCCCCCACTCACACACCCACCCATCCACCCACCCACTCTCTAACTCACACACTCACCCACCAACCCAACCACACACTCAATCAATCACCCACCAACCACTCACCCACCCAATAAACGAAAACTGAACTATTTCTCATTGTACCAGCTAAGGCCCACAGAGCTATATAGATCTTTTTCAAAAGCGACCTTGTTACAAATTACAGGTAAACAAAGTGGCTTATCACATATACATTTATTGCAGCCAAATCCTCTGAATGCAAATTTATTCTCAATGCAAAAACCCAGAGGACCCGGAGAAAAATCCACGTGACCACAGGGAGAAGATGCAAACTCGAAATATGCAGGCGGCAGGGTCGGGATCAATTCCATGACCTCCTGTATACTATGCAAGGTAGTTAACATCTCACCACCATGGTGCCCCATTCTCTGACTCACTCACCCACCCACTCGCACACTAACTTCCCCACTCAACCTCCTACACTAACTTACTCACCCACCTACCAGCCACTCACCCAAACACCCACCCATTCACCTACTGACTCGCACCACTTACTCAAATACCCATACACTCACACAATGACCCAGCCACTGACTCGAACACCCACCAACTTACCCACCCAACCCCCATTCAACCACCCAACCACCAACCCACCCATTCACTCACTCACCCACTCGCCCACGAAACAAAAACTAAACTGTTTTTATTTTACCAGGTAAGGCCCACAGGGCTATATAGATCTTTTTCAAAAGCGACCTTGTTACAAATGACAGGTTAACTAAGTGGCTTATCACTTACACATGTGTGGTGGTCAAGGTTGACACCAAGGTTGACACAGGTCACACAGGTCACACAAGCTAGGGGAGAGGTACGTACCGGTCTGGACCGGCCCGGATTGACAGGGACGAGAGGTGGTTGGAACGGCTCTGAGGGGAGGGGGCTGGCGAGAGCCAGGGCCCGAGACACCCCCGCCCCTCAGAGAGAGGGGATATATAAGACGGCTCCCGGAGAGCGGAGGGGTCGATCGGAGGAGAAGCTGAAGGAGGAGAGCCGGAGATCCTGGACCCCCAAGCCTCAAGGATGCCGCCCCGCTGGAACTGAGTGGGCTGAGTAGCTGTAGGCTAGGGAAGAGAGTAGCTGAGTAGCTGTAGGCTAGGGAAGAGAGTAGCCGAGTAGCTGTAGGCTAGGGAAGAGAGTAGCTGAGTAGCTGTAGGCTAGGGAAGAGAGTAGCCGAGTAGCTGTAGGCTAGGGAAGAGAGCAGCTGAGTAGCTGTAGGCTAGGGAAGAGAGTAACAGAGTAGCTGGAGGCTAGGGAAGAGAGTAGCTGAGTAGCTGTAGGCTAGGGAAGAGAGTAGCTGAGTAGCTGTAGGCTAGGGAAGAGAGTAGCTGAGTAGCTGTAGGCTAGGGAAGAGAGTAGCTGAGTAGCTGTAGGCTAGGGAAGAGAGTAGCTAAGTAGCTGTAGGCTAGGGAAGAGAGTAGCTAAGTAGCTGTAGGCTAGGGAAGAGAGTAGCTGAGTAGCTGTAGGCTAGGGAAGAGAGTAACAGAGTAGCTGTAGGCTAGGGAAGAGAGTAGCTGAGTAGCTGTAGGCTAGGGAAGAGAGTAACAGAGTAGCTGTAGGCTAGGGAAGAGAGTAGCTGAGTAGCTGTAGGCTAGGGAAGAGAGTAGCTGAGTAGCTGTAGGCTAGGGAAGAGAGTAGCTGAGTAGCTGTAGGCTAGGGAAGAGAGTAGCTGAGTAGCTGTAGGCTAGGGAAGAGAGTAACAGAGTAGCTGGAGGCTAGGGAAGGAGAGAAATGAGAATATAGCCGGAGGCTGTACCTCCCTAGGTTGTGTGTGTGGGACTGTTTCCCCAGTGAGTCCTGAGGACTAGTGTTATCGGAATAAAAGCGTGTGGCCTCTACGAAGTGTCGGTCTCATTCAAGAATACTACACATGCATTGCAGCCAAATCCTCTGAATGCAAGTTTATTCTCAATGCAGAGGGAAAACTCCGTGGACCTGGAACAAAAATCCACACGACCACGAGGAGAACAAGCACGATCAAATATACTTGCGACAGGGTCGGGATCGAATCGACAACCTCCTGTATATTAGGTGAGGAAGTTACCATCTCACCACCGTGGCACCCCATTCTCCGACTCACTCACTCACTCAAACACCCACCCATTCACCTATTCACGCACACCACTTACTCAAATACCCACCCTCTCACTCAATAACCCATCCACTCACTCATGAACCCACTGAAGCACTCACCCATACAAAAACCCACTCACCCACTCACTCACCGACTCACTCACCCATGAAATCGCACACCCATCTTCTCAACCACTCAGCCAGCCACCCACTCAATCTCGTACCCACTAACTCTCTCACTTCCTCACCAACCTACCAACCTACCAACCCACCAGGGACGTGCGGTCAGGGGAGGCAGAGCCTCACCTGTCATACTCCAATGACAATAGTTTTTACGAAAATAAAAAAAAAAAAGAGAATAATAAAATAAAAATTAAGATTTTTCCACTGATCTGTGTTATAAATGTCATTTCTGTACGATTCCAATCATTTTTATAGTCAAAATTGCCAAATTTGCGGAGCTCCACTGCAAATACAGGAAGAGACGAGAGGCGAGGCAGCGACGAGCTCAGCCTCCCCTGATTGCGCAACCCCTCAGTAACTGGATGGAGCGCGGGCAATAAGCGCGTGCCTGCTACTATCTCAGTATGTCACCAATGTAATGTTTGTAGACCCCTTCATTTCATGTCCTCGCCTTCCATACTCCAGGTAACTTATTTCACGTATGTGTATTAAGATATTTAGGCTCGCTGGTCTCGTCATGAAACTGCAATGAAAAAGCACCAGGGGAGGCAGCCATCACATTTGCCTCACTGAGGAGGATGCGTCTAACACGCCCCCCTCCGTGAGGCCACGTCCCCCTGAGTGTGTGAATCTGGCTCTGACACAAGCCAGTGTCTCCCCAGCCATTGACCTCACCACACATCACTGCAAACCACCCACCCATCTCCTCACTCAACCACCCACCCAGTCGATCATCCACCCACTAACACTCACCCACCCAACAACTCACTAACCCACCCAGCTCTCACTCACCGAGCCAGTCAATCTCTAACCCACCAACTCACTTTTAAACTGACTCTCTCAACTACAACTCACCCAGTCACTAACCCACTCACTCAATTTATAACCCACCCACTACCCACATAACCTGCTACCCACACACTCACTCATCCACAAATCCACTCACCCCCTCACTCATCCATCCACTCACATACTCACCCAGCCACTCACCTACTCACCCAGTCACATACACATCCATTCACCATGCCACCCACTCAATTTCTAACCCACTCACTCGCCCAACCACTCCCTCAGCAACTCACCCACTAACCACGTAATTATTCACCCACCCACCCACCACTCAACCACCCAATAATTCAACCACCAAAACATTCAACCACCCACTAACTCAACCACCCACTACCACCCACTAACTCAACCACCGAGCAACTCACACTCACCCACTCACCCACTCACCCACCCACCCACGCACTCACCCGCCC